TTTGTATATTTGACTGTATCATAAAGCAAAAAGATTGTGTGTTTATGTACGTTGTTACTATCGAGGACAGGCACTGTCTAGAACTGCTATCTTTTACACATCCTTACTTACATTTAAGGTGGTCAGTTCAGGACTTTTTTTTATATATATATGAAAGCATTTTTAAATATATTGACTTTATTTTTCATCCATCCTGTGCAATATGCTGTGTAGAATTATCATTTATTGTCTCTAATCATGCCATAAACAAAGGAACCACCCTTTTTTTGAGACTCAGAGAAAGGGGGGAACTCATGCCAGCTAAATTGTGTCCATTCACTGCCTGTCAGATTGTTGATATAAACTTGTGTACAGAACTTTTTCAAAGAAGGAAATAAATATCAGCTGGAACTGAAACTCTACAACTCTTTCTTGATTCTTTTTATCTCTCTTTGACTCTTCCAGGAAGATATACAAGGGTATAATTCAAAGCAAGAGCACCCAGGCCTATCAAAGCTATTAACTTACCACGGCACCTGCCTTTTTAAAACCTTACTATATGGATTAGTTCTAAAACAAAAGTGGTTACCATGGGTGGAGAGATATTGCATTTGAGAAATCCAAAATAGTTTGACCACATACTGCATCCCGAACAATAACCACCTACTTCTTTAGAGTGAAGCAGGCATTATTGTTGAGACTGCAGTGTGAAAAGAAAATGAAAAGTTCACATTTGTTTATTTAAATGTCATTTTGCAAACCTCTCCATCTGGAAAAAGGGACTATGTTTCTCAAAGTTTCACATTAATTGAGTAGCTATTGTCCATGTCTGCACATCCGTCTTAAGACTGTTTTGACCACAACAATGTTTCTACATTGAGTGTGAATGTGTCCACAGATGGTCCACCAAGCTTTTGGAAAGCTCACAAAAAAGCACACACACACACACACAGCACTTTTATTTCCAGTTACACTGCAATAGGCAGGACTGATTTTCAGAGTTTTATAGCAGGCTCCCCCCTCTATAGACTTAGGATGCATGGTCTTGATTCTGTAAAGCCTTTGGGAAGCTTACAACCGCACCCCGGAGGCAAGTAATAGATGCATTTATATAGACTCAGACGGAGCAAATCAATAAGACTATTTTAACCCTATCGTGACACATTCAATAGGTTTTCATGTTAAGCCCCCATAAGGCTTATTTATCATGCATTCAAAATTATTCTTAGGGAGTGTTGATCTGAGACCTGGATGTCCCATACTGATGATTATATGGCCATAACACATGACATAGTTTAGGACTGTACACAAATTGCATTCCCAACAACACTGAGGCACATTCAGTAACTCGTACCTCAGGTTATCTTTTGGATTGAGAATATGTATCTTCAAAAAATACCAAACAAATGACCAAATTATTAATAACATTACCATCACATGAATCTTTGTAAGTCTATAACATATTAATGACTAACAATGGATGCATGGACAGATAGAGGTTTCCTACTTGATATTTTACAAAACATATCTGTTTAAATTACTGTTTAAAAGATGATACATTACATACACCTGCAGATATAGATGTGTACTGCCTGCATCCTTTGTCACATCATCCTCTGGATAGTCAATACACATCGACTCATCTTAAGCCTAGAACCCAACATGAAAGGCTAACCCATCCTGACCAGATGGAGCTTCAGAGGAGAAGGCTACTATTAACACATCTGTACATTGTTCAGGTAGTGTATCCATTCACCTAGCGGCCACATTAAACAGACTATGAAGTGATGAAGGTGAGCAGTTTTGCCACCATCCCATCACCTACAGCACTGTTCCATTACTAACGTGCTTCTTGAGTAGCCAATTATGTTGCCTGCTTAGGTTTGTCTAATTGCCTAAAATATATTCCTGCAGAAGAATAAAATGTCTGAACACATACCAGGGTCACTTTAATTGGCCAAATGATAGGGAATAGCTGTAATAAAGGGCTGTTTATTTGAGAAAAGACAATCATCAGTTCAAAAGGTAAATCGTCTTGGGCTTCATCCCAGGAAAACTGATTCTATTTTATTCCAGCCCGTTGTGCTGTATGCTGGCTGTCTGGTGTTCAGACGGTCATGATTTCCCTTCCCCCTCTTCCAGACAGACCCTTATCATGGGGGGAAGGGCTGGTTTAGCAGCAGTCAGCCAAGGGCCCTCCAGCATAGCTGACAAGCATGTCTGTCTGTCTACGGTATGTGTGTGTGTCTCTGTGTGTCTCTGTGTGTCTCTCTGTGTGTGTGTGTGTGTGTGTGTGTGTGTGTGTGTGTGTGTGTGTGCATGTGGTTCAAATTCAATGCAATTGAACCACATGAAATGGCTATCCCTGTAGTAGGACCAGGCACTGTATGTCTACCTCACACAGATAGATCCTTTTTCTTATTGTTGTATAAAACAACAAGTACCAATGTAGCATCAAGGAATCTTCAGCATGCAGTTTGAACCTCGCAGTACATACTTGTTATGTGGGACTTCCTTGAAGCAATACTTTAGCAACATTTTATTAGATTCTATTGCACAATAGCTTAATTATGTGTGTGCAATTACAGGTGCCATAGCTGTTACTGTATTTGACTATATGTCATTATGTGTGGCATAAACACCAGCGGTTGTTTCAGTTCATAGAGCTATGTGTTTTCTGATGTTGTAATTGGATGCCAAATTAAATTAAGATAGCAAGACTTTAAGCTTGTGCTATATTATGTAATGTATGTAACAGGCCAGTATCATTTAAATAAGCACCCTTGTGCATTCCAGATTAGTTTAATTGATTTAAGCATTTATTCCGAGTTCAATTGGCTGTGTGTAACCACTGATTTTACAAAGAATGTAAACACTCTTTATATTGCTTTATGATGATAAATATGTATCATTCAAGAAGATAATATCTTCAGTGTGTGGGGGAATCTTGCAAATTTTTCTAAAAGCCTCAGCACTTCCATGTGTGTGTGTTAAACTCCTTTAAGCTGTATGTAGCCTGCTCAGTGTGCAGTCTCATGCCTGGCTCACCTGACTCCGCAGTGGGAGATATGCAGGCAGCAGCCAGGGCAGAGCAGAGCGGAGCAGAACGTTCTGACTGCTGGAGTCAGTGGCCCAGTAAAACCACAGCAGGGAGGATAAGAGCTCCGCCGGAGGGGGGGTGAGAGAGGCATGACTGTATCTCTATGTCTGCCTGTCTGTGTAGGTAGCTGATCTACGCTCAGCCCAGAGGGGCTGGATGGTGGAGTGGATTAGGTGATGGTAGTGGTTTGACTATTTCTCCCCTCTGTGGTAAAAAAACAAACAAAAAAAAGAAATATATTTTTGTTGTTTTGTACTGCATAACACCACGTGTTGAATGTTTCTCTCGTTTTCAATTCACACAGCAGTTGCATTCCTTTTTATTTTTTATTTCCATCTGTCTGGCGTATGAATGGAGGACACAGTGGTGGTGTCTGTTCTCTTTAGTTGTCTCGTCTCCACCTGACTGGCTCTGTCAATCTACCTGAGATGTTCCCATAGGCTCGCGTTCACTTGCAAACAGAAACCTCACCCAAACTGGAACTCACAGAGAAGTTTCTGTTTGTTTGTCTTTTTTTTCTTTCTTTTTTTTTCCAAGATCCAGCCGGTTATCGGTGAGAGTGGTTCCTGTGTGCCTTTCTTCCGTGTTTCTGCCAAGAGATGAAAGAACCTGTCCGTCTGTTGGAAGCGTGTGCAGTATAACAGGCAGGACCACATTTTGATCTGCCTGCTAACATGTATGTCTGTGTGTGGGTATAATGACTGTTATTATTATGTTATTATGTATTTGCATGCCTGTTGTGTGTCTGGTTGATTTATTTCTTAGACTTGTCAACTGGCAGTGGGGAGACACAGTTAAGACTTCCTCTTCTCTCTCCCCTGCCTCCCCTCCTAACACACACGGGCAAAACGCCACCACCACTGCCACCACTGACTCCATCACCAACAGCATCTTCTGTTACTTTTCTCATTTTGTGTTTCTATATACCTGCTGATCTTGCTTGAACGTAATCCACAGGGCTTTGTCTAAAAAAGAAAACACTGATGCATATGGAAGTAGTTTGACCACTTGTGAGCAAAAACCTAAAGATTCCTGGTGTCTTTAGTTTAACCAAACATTTGTAATCAAGTTTGCCTTTGCAATTAGCATTAGGTGTTCATAATTGGTGTTGGACTGATAATAAAACCGAGTAATAATTCAAGTCTAGTTTATAAAACGACCAAATTTGCATGCATATGGAATCAAGCAATTAATCCTCTTATATAATTAAATAAGAGGTGTACAATTAAGTAATTTGATAATGATAGTTTGATGACAAACTATTACTGTGACATGTAAAATAAATAAAAGGTATAGAATCAACAAGATGAATGAGACATTTGTACTTTGTGCATTACATAACAACAAGACCTTTGTTTGTTTGTTTGTCCCTTTGTTTGTTCCCCTGCTGCTGCCCAGACAATGTTTCAGGCGGTGGATCCAGGAAAGTTTTTGTCAGTCAGTCTTGCTATGTGTAGGCTACACTTGACACTGAGAAAACAGACAAGAAATGATGAAGCAAAGAGTGTGACTGATTTACGTGTTACTTTAAGTGAAGAGAGTGACAGAAAGAGAGTTCTCAAACTGGGGAAACCTGCAGGATGCAAGGGTGAGTACACAATGTGAAAATAATGAATTAAATAAAATGAATTAAATAAAGATAAATTCATATTTCATGGCAGAGAGACAGATACTTGACTGACTTAAAAAAAATAAACTTAGTAAACTGATGAAGTGAAGTTGGTGGGTTTAAAAAAATGAATCAATCTAATCTGACACCAAACAACCACCGTGCTTGTTGTTAGAAATAAGACATATCCACCGGCCGTCTACACTGTTTTGTGCATACAGTTGTTTGACTTTGAGAGGGCGGGACTCTTTGGAGAGCGAAATGAACTAGGCGCGGCCAAAAGGAGCCCCATCCATCTATCACACGTGTAGACAAAGGGGGACTCCACAACACAAAGCTAGATGTGCCCTCTCAAACTTTTTCCACGACGCATGGACAGGCGCGCAGAGCAAAACGCCTCCAGGTGAGTTGCTTTTTGCCTTCACTTGCACCCGCGTTGTGATTTTCGAATTTATATCCAGTTAAAAGTTGCTGATGTAGTTGGTGCGTCAGCGCTCAAACTTGAGCACAAAGCAGGAGAGAGACATAGAGAATCAGTGGCAGCGGGGAGAGAGAGCGCGAGAGGAGCGGTCCCCTTTTCCTTTGTCTGATGCGGGGCGCTTTGATGAGAGAACTTGAGGGGATGCTCAGGCACGCATCTTCATAACGCTCACTAATACTCAATATATAATACTTAGAATTTATTGTCAGTGAGCCTTAGCGGAGGTGAGATGGGGTTTGTGTCTCTTGGGGATGTTGCGACGCAGAAGACAAAGCAACTGCCTGTCAGAAGTTTGCGGAGAAAAGGACATTTTACGCACGCTGGAAAACTGACAAAGTGACAAGTATTAGTTCATAAATAGTTTGTAGCTAGTTTTCCTCCAGCCTGCAGTAGTTTTATGACAGTGGTGTTCGTGGTCTTGCGAAGTTGCCAGTGCACTGAGGGAATTCAGAACAATGCAATCAGGTGTAAAGTCTCTAAGAAACAAAAGTGACATAATTAAACCTGTTGCACGAATAAGGAACATGTTTGGAGGTAAAAAGATGAACTGAAAGTAGATTCGTCTCAAAAATCACTAAGTAACTTGTTATAGTTGATTGGAAACAGCGCAACAGGTATAAGTCGTTGCAGCTTCTTTGTTACAGTAAAGGCTCCTTTGTTCTCGGTCCATACAAAGAAAACCAGCAGAAAGGAGCGCAAATCCACAAGGAAGCAACTTTTTTTTAAACGCTTGAAATGATTTTCACGAGATAAAAAATATTTACAATTTAGTTTTTTAACGTCCAAAGTGTAGAATAAGCTTGTGTTTTCCTTTTTATTTTAAATATATAAAACTCGCCTGAGCATGTATAAATAGGCCTGGTTACTAACTACAGAAGCTTTATTTGAAACTTTCATCTTGGTTTTTTATTAGGTGTCTAAAACACAACAGATGTAGTTTACATGATTTTATATTAAGTTTCTTCATCATGTGAAGGTGTGGCCAAACAACTTGTTTGACTTTGCTGCATTCCATAGTAGCCCTACCCTAAAACTTTTTATTAGGCAACGTAAGACAATTTGCACTTACAGGAATAATTTGTTATGTGAAACAAAATTAGTTTAGCGTTTTGGTTTGTTTTTCCAACTTTTTACAGCTCATACCAACTATTACACAGCACAGCCTGACACACCTGTGTTACTTGGTTCAACATAATTTAACAAAGAATGTATCACTTCATTTTCTTTTTTTTCCCTCGTACCAGTGTTAAGAAATGAGCTCATTTGTTGTACTTATATGCTTTCCATTTTTTTTCTTGATTCCTCTGGGATCTGTCCTTAGGTGGATTTTAACACCAGATTAACCAGCAAAGCGTTTTTCTCCAGTTGGAGGTTAAGGAAAGGAAAATATGTGGAAATCACATGGAAGATGTACGGAGTCACCTATCAAGCGGCTTTTAAGACGCAGAGGAGGATTAAGAGACTGTGCAGTTTTCTTTTGGAGAAGGTGAAGACTCATCTCATAAGGATTTAAACCTCAGGAGCAGCAGTGCCAGGCGGGATGCATTTTAGGCACGCTTGGAAATCTGAAACTCATGGAGACACTTTAAGGATTATAAAAAATGTGTAGTGTGTCTCTCCACAAGACAGCATCCCAGCCCAATGTCACTGGGAGAACAGGATATTGCATCTAGGATCCTCCTCGGCCCTCCACATGGTAGGTGATATTACTTTGTACTGGGATGTAGCACTTGTTCAAACTCTTGTTTGTAGGGCTGCCTTGCTCAGTTGGAAACAAGCGCATCAAACCTCCCAAAGACACACAGAACACCAACATTTATTCCCCAATTTCAGTAGAGGCTGGATTGCCCCAACATGTGACTATGCATGGTACCCTTGTCATATTTTATATGGGAAAGTTGATTGAAGTGTAAGTAAAAATCAGGATAAATTTGATTAAAAGAAATGCTCTGGAGCATTCCTAAACAATTATATCATTCCAGTCACTAGCCATTGTTTGCCAGATATTAAGTCAATATAAGCAGTTTGGACAACAATCAGGATACAATATAAATATTTATACCACAGCCTGGGGGTTTTGTAAACGGAAGCCACAATTGGACTGGTTGACTTTTCACACTTGCCGTAAACAGAGACACATTTGCCCTAAAGCACCTCATAAACACTATTTACTGCACGCTATAGTGTAATTATTAGATAATTGAATGTTGACAGTTAATGATAGATCATAATTATGCATATTTCCCACCACTACTACATTGACCTCTTTTTTTAATTTGACAAGATTGCATACATTTTCCTGACTGATACAACATTGTATGCAATTTCATTGTGTTTAAAGTTTCTGTTTCAGCAGACTTGATTTACCCAGTGCTGTCTGTTTGGCTTAACTAATCTGTTCATAATCACTTCTCCTGTGTCACATGACATCTGATGGGTGGTACAGTTGTAGCTTGTGCAGTTGACCCCAGTCAAGAGACATGTTAGCTCAAAGTCCTTTAGTTCACTGAGGGGACGGAACCAGGGAGAATGATCTGCAGAATGAAGAAGTTACATTTGTGTTTGTGCCCGTTTTTATGAAGCAGTTCATTTAGGCAAACCTGTTAAATCTTGGAAAACAGTCATGAGAGATGCAGGCAGCCCTTTTAACCTGTGCTTGAACAATATGTGGGTGTGAGGGTGAGAGAGAGCAAGAGTGAGCTCTCACTAATCAATGATGTCATTAAGAGCCAATGAGAGCGCGCAGTGGTACTTGTCGGCATCCAAGCTCCGCCTCTGGCCTCTGTGCATGGCAGCCCACATGGTCCTGCAGCATCACATTGTCGCCATGCTGCAGAGAGGGGCAGAGATACAGAGATGTTGCCCTTGGCTGTGTGCTCTGATGTTACAGGAAACATGTTGGCTCAAAAATAGCTTGTTTATCACTAGAAGCATATGCAAGGAACAACCTGAGGGGTGAAGAGGCATTTTTTTGTTTACGTTAACGATTAGCCAAAAAATACATTAGCCCTAGAAACATTAGAGGAAACAACATCCAGACTGATGAAGTTAAATTATTTAAGTGGTAAGCTCAGCCAACTGATATTCTCTTATGTCCCAGTAAATCAATGTAAGCGTTTATAGGCTAAATTATAGAAAATTGATGATAAAAGATTACCTGAATTCAGGCCGAAACATCGGATTTATAGGGAAAAGAACTTAAGGGTACCCGACAGTATCGGCGTTAGCTTAATGTCAATTTACCTGCACTTGTGAACAGGAGAGTTTTAAGATTCAGGGAAAACGGCTCCCTGCTGCTCTTTTGGAACAGGCTCAGGTCGCAGTCTGTAAATGACTGGATCAGTGCGAATGTGGGTCATTAAACACTGTGTGACAGATGTAGGTCAGTGGCAGAGTATGGGGGCTGATGAGTCATGCAAACAATTAAGATTAGGGCCAGGGGATGCAAGAGAGAGAGAGAGAGAGAGAGAGAGAGAGAGAGAGAGAGAGAGAGAGAGAGAGAGAGAGAGAGAGAGAGAGATGCTCAGTTGTTGACATGTGGCAAGAGAGTCTATGCAGTGAATTTCATGTCGAAATCACACTTCTCTTAATTTCTGCTGGAGTGACTCTTGAATTTCACTTTTCTTGCTTCTTTGTTGTAAATGTAATTGTGTATGCCATATGGAGTATAGAGTTGGATGGTCATCTGCACTGTTGAGCACATGTTATAGTTCAACTGTGAGCATGGTAGCTTTATATAAGAATAATATACTGTATGTGTTTAACTCTAGCTCTCGTTTAACGTGTAAATGCTCTGTAACTTAAGTCTTCTTATAACATTTGGAGCTCTACAACCATTCTGCCCAACTATTTAGCCTACCTATTCTGCTGTGGATTACAAGTGTGCAGATTCAGTCCAGTACCCAGTTAATGAACTTGTGGGTAAAACAGACTCATCAGGTTTAGCATAACTAATCATTGTGACAGGCCCAGCACTGAGCTCTTAATAGGCATTGCACGGTATGGTTTCTGCTACAATACAGTATGCTCCACTGTGTGTAGCTTAATTACATTGCTTATCTGTAATGCTATTATCAAGTACAGTGCAGTTTTCATAACATTTGCCATGTGGTAGACGCTTTACGAGAGAATGCATTTATTTTTTTGCACGGACATCCCAGTGGGAGTTGAGCTTCTAAACCTAATCCATTGAGTTACATGGGACAACATTTGCACAGCAATCTGTGGCATCTTCCAGCTCTGAAGACTCAATATCCCTCTAAGCTGGAATGCTCATTAAAATGGGCAATGGTTTCACACCATCTCTGTCTCTGCAGCATATGCACAACTGAATCTGCACCACCATAATCTCTCATCCCATCTGTATTTGCTATGACATTAATATTAAGTACTTCATTTTCTGGTGAAGTCTGATTAGGACCACAAAGCATTATTACTGTGTTGGAGCAAAGTAGTACATTGACACCAACCCAGACATCAACGCATTCTAGTCTACGTTATTCTTTTCTAGTTATATTTCTGTAATGCATGGCATGTCCGTGAGCTGGCCTGATGTTATGCAAAGTGCATTAGACTAGAATAGGCCTGCAACATTAGGCCTAGAATAACCAATCACTAGCGTAAGCTTAATTCTCTCAGACATCCTGTGGTCAGCCTCAGGAAAGCTATCACGTTTAGTTTTACCACTCATTGCATGTAGCTTGTGGGCATTACATGAAATCACTACAATACATGTATGCGTACACTGTTTAGATTTTCTGCTTCATCAAACAACAAAATTACAACTAATACCAGTTCAGGCTCAATTTGTTTTTGCAGCATTTGATACACATGAAACACTGTTGACCCATGACTGTACGTATTTACATTATGCTTCATTGAATTCATACTATTTTTGCACTCCGACATATGATGTTTGATGCTCCAATACAAGCACTGATGCATGGATCATCAAAGTGGAACAGCTGCTCTAAGAGATTTGTATTTGTTATGTATGTGACAAAAAAATTGATTGAATTGATAAAGATGAGTAACCCCAAAACGGCTTTAATAATAATTTCATCTAATTTTCCTCACCAGCTCAATTTATGTTGATGCTCCCTTTGTGCATACCAGCGACTCATACAGGACACTTCACTGTGGGTACAGTACAGTAAATTACAGTGCAGTAAAACATTAGGCCCACCATCGCTAATCGTGACGACAGTCCTAATTCTCCAAGCTACAGGCATTCTGTGGTCATCCTGTTGCAAACTATCAGAGCTTAGTTTTAGCACTCTGTGCCTGTAGCCGCGAGATAAGTTAACGGGCTCTGCTGGCATGCTAATACATACCCGCACTGGGGGGGAAAGACAGGAATAAATTATTTCTTTATGACTGTGCACAAGGCAGAGCGTTTGAAGGAGGGGAGGAAGAGATAGAGAGGGAACATAGGGACATGAAGCACGGAAAAAGAGAGATGGGGTGAATGATGGGCGGCAAAGAAAGGAGGGAGAGAGAGAAAGCCAGAGAGGAGCATTGAGACGGAAGGAGAGGGGATAGGTTGAAAGAGAGAGGAAAAGGATAAGATAAGAATAAGACATATAGTAAGCTTTATAGTGCTCTTTATATGTGTCCCTCTTCAGTTTATAGTAATTCTCTCACCATGACGAAGTGGGGTAGTCATTTTATGTCTGACTGTGACTGCGTTTACGGAAAACATAGTCCTCCAGAGCTTCCTTATTCTTTACAGCCAATACGACTTGTAACTGAAATGTTTTTTTTTTGCAGTTAGGTGACATTCGAAAGAGCTATGAGCTCATGCACAACAAAAGGTTTGCTTTGGCAAATAATAGCTGTGCAGATTTATTTTACGGCTTTGACCTGAAAACCATTAAGCCTGTATCCACCATCGTATGACCTTTTGAGGGAGTCTGTCCTCGTTTGAAATATCCAAATGATGCAATGATAAATAGTTGGTGGATGATGTTTAATAATGGTGCAATGACTGAAATCTAACTAGAAATATTGTTGTTGCTTTTAGTGCGAAAAGGCAATGATTTTGATCTCTGAGGGAAGATGAGGACAGGACTTTGTCATGTAGATTGCTATTTAGTTATTTTATGTTTGTGTTTAAATGTCAATGTCTTGTTTTGTGTCACATTGTGTGTTTTTCTGCCTGCTGCACATTTGCCCACTGGGATGTGAGCGAAGTCAAGACCGAACGGCAAACAATAGCATGACAAATCAGTCGGAAAACAATAAAGGAATGCGCCAAATCAAAATTCACTGGATGGGAGCTCACATGGCGTGTTGCGCAGCAGGCCTAACTGCCCCTGAAGATATTGCTTTCTTCTCCTCCTAGCCCAGGTGTAGATATAAGGACACAATTTCCAATAAGAGCTTTAGCCAGTTGTCTGTCTATTACAGGTCAACTTATTTCCTCCATAAATGCACAGCATGTTGCTGTCTGGGGATGGACTGATAATCCCTCTAAAGACTGGGGTTTTATCAAAGGCTAAATCTGCTCCTTATAAAACACACACACACACAGACACACACACATATACTAACACACACATGAAGATAGACTTGCCTGGTAGACAGACAGTCACATGTGTAAAGACCAGGGTTTTTATCACAGACAAATCTGTTATTGTCTGGTTGTTAGGAGATTAAGAAGCAAACAAACACACACTTGTCATTAGAGGATGAACG